CTCTGTCCCAAAATAACTATCATTTTTTTATTTTAAATTTGTCTCAAATTAATTGATGCATTTTTATTTTTTAAGATAGATAAATATTTAATCGATACTTTAACCCTATCATTATCCATATATTTTGACTAATTATCTTATTAACAAAAGTCTTACTTTATCTTTTAACTTTTCTTAAGGGTAAGGTAATACAGTTAAATATATAAATAATCCCTAAATCCTTACTAGTTTACATTTTCTCAAAGCTCTTTAATTAGCAATTTAAGAACAGAAAAACTCTGAGCACTTTGCAAACACTTTGTAGAAAAGTGTTGGAAATGACTGGTAGGAACATGTCATCAGCATCAAAGATATATATACCCATAACATTTTCACTGAATTAGATCATTTTAAGTGACAAGTATACATGTGAGAAAGTGAATGGTTGATTTATTGAATAAGGAACGCATAACCTACATTCCTACCCAATATCTAGTCAACTTCCCGTGACAAAAACAATAAGATGCCCTTTATCAACTCATCAGCACCCGAAACCACACATCCAAGTTTCTAGGGGATGTAAGAGAAAAGTTGAACTAAGTCCACACCTCTAGTGGTCACATAGAAAAGTGAAAGGATAAGAGTTAGAGAACGTCATTTTACCTGTGTTCCCCAAAATTGTTATAGTAGTGTTGTTAGAGTCTGGTGTCAGATTCAGCTGCATTAAATCCTGAAAATATAAAGAACTACAAACATCACACAATCTATGTTTCTGTTTCAAATTTGCGACTTAGAAGGAATGCATCAACGGTAAAGAATGAATCAATAACCAAAAGAACAACCAATCACCTTGCCCATTTCCACTATGGAAAACCCCCCAATAAAAAGTGCTGATGCAGATCCTGAAACATGGTTTGCTTCTTTCATAGAAGCATTGATAGAAACATATACATACGGTTTCATGTCCTTGGGCTTGGGTATTGAAAGTGCCAAATGCTCTGGTGAGTATGGGAAAAAGAGACAATATGAATGGCCAGTATCAAGGTCCATCCAAGGCTTTGCATAGCTGCAGGCAACAAAGACCATGTAAAATAAAGTAATTATGTTATATTTTTGCAATTTGACATCCAAAGGAGAAGAGAGAGATATGTACCCAACAAAAGAAGGTTCCACTCTACAGTCATATGGGGCTCCCTTATTGCTTCCCAGAACTTTGGAATGACCATTAAAATCACTGCTAGTAATCAGGATAATGACAAAAGATTTAATTCCTCGGACAATATTATTTATATTTTCCCCCAACAAAACAGTAATAAACATGCAATCGGTAAACATAACGCTCTGCAGACCTCATAATTGCGATGATGAATGAAATAGCTACTTAACAGTTTATGCACACGCCTACATACATTAGATAAACACACAGCCTCCAAATATTAAGCACAAAGCCAGGGAACATGATAGCATAATGTACTTGGAGAGCTTATTTAGAGGATTGAATAATTGACATACCTGAACTTAACAGAGAAGCTATATCCTTTTGAAGGGAAAGGAACATTTGTCAGCACATCTTTTGGAGCATCCATGACAAGACTATTTCTGGGTTGTACAGTAACAGTTGTTTGCAGTTTTGTACCAGAACTTTCAAAAGAAACTGTTAAGAAATAGCATTCCAGGTGTGATGAATTGCACCTCAAAGAAAAAGCAAAATGAATAGTTGAAGTCATTTTTTAAAAGCCAGCAGATTCAACTGGTCAGAGATATTTTTAGGCAATACCTTGAGTTAAGCCCTCCCCAACTGCTTTAGCATGTCCAGATGGCATATCTATAGATATAACACTCTCATTGGAACTATGCCATTGACCAGAAATTTTATCATTAAAACCTAAAATGAGGTAGCAGAAATAAGAAAAGGTCAGCAAAGAGACACAGCTTATCAATGTACTGCACATATATGGTTTGACACACACAACAATATACCGTAGGAGAAGTTATTTGAGATGGTGAGAAAATAAAGAAAGTAGAATTAAAATTTCAATATAGACCCACCTGATACACTAAAGTTAAGACAACTTCCTGCATGTAGAACTGCATTTCTAGGATATACATGGGCACCAACTGAAATCTGAAGAAAAAAGCATTAAGCTAAGAAGAAGGAACCCAATAAATAGAAGAAAAAAAGAGCATTTTACTTGAGGTCATTTTGTATTGTACAAAAAGGTGATGATTTTCAAAAGCAAATAAAGCATATGTATTATAGAGCCTAAAACAAGTTGGAACAATTTGAGGCTTCATAACTGTAAGTAAATCCAACTTCCCACAAAATTGATATCGTACATACAAAATTCACACAAGCACACATGCACACAAGGTGCATGCACATTTGTCCGATAAAAAGAGGGAAAAAAAAAAAAACCCTTCTGCTAACTAAAAGAAAATTTTATCAGGTTGCGTTGGTTGGACCAATTTCAGTGAATCAGTGCACAAGGTTGTCTCAATTCGATATGGATAAGTACATACCAGCATATAATCTGCCTTTTTTGGACTACCTCTGATTGAGACTCTCAGAAGAGCTCTTCCATGCCGCATTGCCTTCAAGCAGAAACAAAGTGAGGACAGAGGGATGATAAAACAGTATTTATTGACATTAAAAAATGATGCATTTGAAGAAGAAAGAGCTTTCTTTTCTTTCTTCTTATTTTTTTTTATTTTTTTGGCCTTCAAAATGAGATCTTTCAAATACATGCAATTTCTATGAACATGAAGTACGATAAATTGGCACCACTCAACCTAAAATTTTCATGGATTTCTATGAACAAGTGAGAATTGTCACTTGATGCATCATAAGAATAAATAGCAAAATAGCACGAGGTCTGAACTACAGCTTCTCATTAGATTAGTTGGACCCTTGTAACAAAAAAGTGAAATAAACATTAAGTGATCAGAACACCTTGAGATGAATGTTTGCATTTGCATTGTCTATCCAGCTAACAGAGACAACATCAGGGTAGTTAGTTTCCACATTATGGAAAGCAACATGATGTGCTTCATGAAAAGGAATTCCTGGTCAAACACAGAATCATAAAAGACCATGTTAGGATCTGAATTCTGAAACATATAAAGAGCTCATATTTCAATTAGATGTTAATCTTGGCCAAACAAAAAATAGATGTTAATCACAAAAATACCTAGAGCATCACAGTAGACAATCGGAAGTTTAAGTTCAGCACCAACAGCAACATCCAACACATGAACAGGAAACTGGTTGTTTGTTATTCTTATTTGTTCTACCTATGATGAAATAAAAAGTAATGGTATTGTGAGTCCAACAATTATTGGATTGAAGAACATGAATGTGAATGCCAGCAGCAAGTGATGCAAATGTCAATAAATGTCATCCATAGGACAAAGAATTCCCCAAACAAAAGAGGAATAACCCACAACATCTAATATATTTGGCAGAAGCAAAAGGCATTTCAAATTCAGTCAGCTGAGCTACATTAAGCATCTAGTGTCATTACTTTAATTATGTTTTTATTAGAGAAGAGATTGATTGTTATTTTGCTAAACATCCTGTACAAACAAATCTAATTTTTTTCCATGGAATTCAGCAAAGATTTGAGACGATGTTTATAATGTTTATTCATAGGATTATGCGGTATGTTAAACAGCTGTAACAACTAGAGTCCCTCAAACAAGCCAACAATACATCATCATATCCATACCTCAGCAACACGGAGACAAAAAGCAATCTCTGTTCTTCCTGTTGTGCGATCTTTCCCTTGAATGCATGCAACACTATTACTCTCTGCTGTTTTTACTTTATCCCCATCAAGTGAAATAGCATTGTGTGCAATGTCATTCCTTTCATCATAATTTCTCAACAAAGAATAGATAATGTTTCCTTTGCGACTTTGACCATCCACAGATGAAGGCAAGATGCTAGATGTAGTATAATCAGGAGGAAAGACCCAGGTAATTGGAACTCCAAGAGCCATGGGAAGATTGGGTACCACCAACAATGACAAAGATGCACTATAAGTCCTTGCCTCCAAGTATGAACCAGAAGAAATAATGTCACAAGAGAATGAAACAGAAACAGTTGTCCGGCCTGAAGCTCTGAAAAGAAGAAATAATTGTTCATTAGAAAACTAAGCTTCTGAATTTGTCAACTTTTTGTCATATCACATACCAGATTTGCCCTAACTATCCTGAAAAGCAATTTGCCAGCACATTACATTTCTAGCCATTAAAATATTAAATTAGGAATAGAATAATGAGTCTTAAGCAGTCACTTCATATATAAATATTACAATCACAGTACCATACAATTCCAGACCAAGCCAAATTCCATGGCAGACCACAAGCTCCTTTTTCACCAAAATTCATTCATAACAGAGCACAAACTCATATTTTCCCTGACGTTTTTAAGGAACAAAATAGTCCAAATCTCATAATTACAAGATCAATATCAACTTTTAATACAAATTTCATTAAAACATGTAGCCCAAAGGGTAAAAACATTTTTTTTCCCCACTTCCTAGCTGTATTCTACTCCCAAGGTAGAAAAGAAAGACAGTTACTTCGATCTTAGGAAATCTTGAAGTTTAACATTCCCATGATAACTTAAGAAAGCAACTAGAAAACCCAACTCCAACCTTAATCTCTCGCCAGAATAGTTATTTCTGCATTTCTTCTCTGATGGATTCAACAAACAAAAATTATTACAAAGAGAAAACATAAATGATATAATTTCATATAAATTCAATAAACTGTAAGAGAAAAGGCCAATGCTGAAGAATTTCCTGCCCCCCCTCCCAACTTTTCTTTACTTTGCCATCTTTAATCTGTTTCAAGATTTTGGAAACACTAAATCACATACTACTACATAGAGAAGCAATAATTCTGCTTGGGTGTCCACCTTTTTCCTGGGTACATGATTTTTATCCAGTCTATAGTTGGGAATTAAGCTCACAGCAGAATTAGATACGATAACTTTAATAATACAATTAGATTTTTAAGTTCAGACTACTCTGGCATGGAAATGATGGATTGTCAACAAAAAATCTAAATTTCATTATTACCAGTACCTTCCATTCAAGACATTGAAAAAACCAAGCTCTCTATCATCCACATAACCAGAGAGTAGACTTTCTTCTGAATCAAATAGTAGGCTCCTAAACTTCTCACCATGTAATTGCATGTTGTGAAAACTCAAAACCTAGAAAAAAACAAAAAAAAACTAAACTTTAAACTCTAAAATAAAATACCATAACCATGTCCACAAGATGGCAAAGCCACGGAAACTAGCGAAGGAAGCAACTAATTCAACCTCTGGATCTTCTATAGTCCACTTGTAATTTTTGCAGAGCTCATAAAATGAAAATAAATCCCCCTGAGTTCACAAAAAGTCCATCAGTATTCTGATTAATGGACAGGTTAATAAATTGAAATATTTCACCTGGATTTCAATGCTTACCTCTGAAAATGAAGGATAAATAGGCATCTCACGGCCAACAGCAAGTAATTCACTTTGTACCATCAATATTGCTGAAGATGGAATTCCCACTGTTATACTTCCAAATGCTTCACAAATCACTGTATCTCCATTTCCATAAACTGTAGCAAGCAGAGTCTGATCATATAACAAAAAACAACACCATAAACAAGAATCCACAATCAAGTTTAATTGGTTAATTATAGTGGAATCAAGTTGCTGCATGCCTGCATCTAACACTATTTGTAGCATGAAGTGTGAAAGATTGAAGGGAATCCTTGCAATCCAGATCACAGATCACCTGCCCTTCACCCAGTTGAAGTGAACTAAGTAAAAAATTTCTTACTTGCCCTAGAAATTCAAACTGATACTTACAGTAGAACTTTAGACTGAGCTCCATTAAAAGTTTTTTAATCATTCACTATGCCCTTAGTGGTCAATCCAGTATTCCAGTTACCTAACAATATCACTCATGGCTGCAATCAGCTAATATCCTCACACCCATTATCAGCAGCATGCCATTTCTCTTTGGTAACAATATGACTAAATAAGAATGCAAACATTAACAAGAATCCAAGACTGGGGAAGGTTCAAGCACATCTTTAACTATAACAAATTGATGTATTTCTTATAACATGACAAATCAGATTTAGGTACTAGATGATTTGTGGCATTGTACCTACATTCAGCACGCAAATTGATAAATTCAATAAAACTCTACCCAGGTACATGTTTATACAACTGATAGAGTTCCCAGTGAACACGAAAGCAAACTATAGTTAACTATTGATGAAGAATCATATCTTACAATGTTCCCAGGTGAAATTGCAGTTATTCGTCCAGAGAATTTGTGGACAGTTACAATACCATCATCCATGCTGGTATACTCTACAGAAGCACTGATTGTTGGGCCTCCTTTCAGTGTAAGCTAAAACAAAGAAATGTCTATGATATTAGATTGACAAAACGCTTCAAAATTGCAAAATATCATCCAAAAATATAAGGGAGAAGGGGCTAGTGTAGCAGGAGAGAAGACCTACACTTGACATGACACTTTTAAGTGCATGGAAAATTTTTAACATTATTCTAAAGTCATTAATTCTATTTAGTGTATAGCAATATCAACATCATAAGGATAACATACCATGTAAGATGCACCAGGTAATAGGAAAATGTCATGTGGGTGAATTGCTGGAAGGGCATAAACTTCAACCTTTATCACTTGGCTCAATATTTCATGTCCAGAATGCTGTCTGGCACTGACCTGTTTTAAGATATCTCAAAACATTGTCTATCCCGATTCTCAATTTTGGCAAGAGGTAGTAAAATATTGGCAAGAGGAGAGATAATGAACTTACATAAAGAGTTGTAATGCCAAGATGTTTGGCAACAATTTTAAAATTTGAGCTGCAAAAATTATAACCACCAGGATTTGAGTCATCAACAGTGTCCACAAGTTCAACCATATTATCCTCAATATGCACCTGAATGTGCATGTATGCAAACTGCATGGAAAGTCCCCAAACACTCTAAGTAAACATTTAAGTTCATTATTCGACAAGAAGTAATATGGAAACATGACTTCGACAAGTGTGATTCACGCACAAACATGGGTATGCACCCAGACACAACAGAAGAAGCCTTAAAAACATGACACACTGAAAAGACAGAAAACATATAGCCTCAAAAAAGGAAGGCAGAAAACATTCATGTTATTATCCATGTTAAAGTATCATATAGGTACGAGCACTTTCCTCTCCACACAACCATGTGGAATCAAATGTGTTCTCTCTCACATAACCACATGGGCCCCAACTAGGATGTGAGAAAAAGAGAAAGCCACACCTTTACACAAGATACTTAGGCTCCAGAAGCAAACCTACTGCTCATTTAATTTAGATAGATACTTGGTTTCTCTCTTACTGAATACTATAGCATGTATAGCCTTACAAGAGGGAAAAAGACAAATAAACCTGTGAAGCATCAAAAGTTCCCCCATCATTTATCCCAGCCATCAGAGTAACAGACTGCATACTTCCTTCCTGAAAATGCCCAAAAAGCAAATAATAAATGCCACTTTGAAAGCAAATATAGCATGTGTAGAAGATGCCCTAAAAACAGACCATAATGCTTATCTCTTCTCCTGATGTAATCTTAATCCAGTCAACATCTGCAACTTGGACCTGTTTGAAAGAGACACCACAATGATAGATACACTAGGTTGGAGAACCTCCCCATGAACTAGCAAATCACAAAAAGAAGATTATAAAGCAAAGGCATTACCACAGCAGAAGTAGCAACAGTAGGAGTAAGCCCAATATCAAAAACTGTCACAAGTGCAGTCCCCAAGCCTTTAGGGGATAGCAACAGTTGTGAGCACTGCAAACCAGATGGAGGATGAATAACTTCAACAACTCGAGAATCATTTGCAACAACTTCCAAGAAACAACTCCCGCCAATGATTGACAAATTTGCCTGAAGAAAGCCATTGCTTTGAGTTACATTTCAACATTCATAAATAGATAAATCAAGATATGCAGAACATATTGCACCAAAAATAACAGTGATGGCAATGATGGTGTGAAAGAAACCTAGGCCAAAAAGAATGGAAAGCACCCAATCAAGGGACCACATATCTTAGACAACAATAGAAATGCTTCAGTACTATTCAAAATCCTGAAAATTAACCTTTACCATTGGTTTTAGAGTCTACCTTAGCATCAGGACTAAAAAATAACAGATTGAACTCTGGAATCACTGTTAGAGCAGAGACCAACTGCATATTTGAACAAGAAAAAATGTTAGAACCATTTATTCTAATAATAACAGGGAAATAATAAGAGCAGGATACTGGACCTGAACTAAGAATAGAAAATTTACAGTAGGACAGAGGAAGAAACCATAAAATGCTTCATGTGTCACATCTAAGCAAAGTTAAATGAATCAATAAGCCTTTACCCAAAAAACAGAAATTCAAACAACCCACCTGTAACTGTGCAGCATCTGTGAGAGCATTCTTGGAACTTCCAAGCAAATGGGAGAAAGAGTGACTTGTGGTATCAGAAAAATCAGCAACAGTGGCGCGGACTGTGCACTAGAAAAAAACCATTAGAGAACTCAGTGTTTTGCAACTTGCACAAAATAAGAAGGGAAAGGCAGAATCATATTTGCTTCCACTTAATTAAACCAACAACTAAAATTTTAAACTCTTAAAAAGGTTATAGCCCTGTGAAAATGACTCGAGACTCTCTCAATAGAAGTAAACATCAAAATCAAGTGCCAGTTTAGGAAAAAGCCTACACAATTAACTTGCACAACCTCTAAGCCAAATTGATCAAATAGCTGTGGTCATAATATTGTACCATCTAGTAGAAAAGTCAGAAATTTTCATTACCATATGCCACTACACATGATAACATACGAGAGGAGCAAAAAATAAGATGAAGTAGCCCCAAGCCTAGTTAAAGTGGAATTTAGCATATCTAATTACTGCCCGAGTTGGCAACACATTTATTATGTGATGCTAACCAAATTAAACTAAAAGGCATAACAAGAAAACAATAAGATATCAGTGTCCCAGCAATACCATTCCAGATTCATTTTGCAAGGTCAAAAACCTTTCCCAACAGGATGTAGTGCTCCCCGGGTCATCAGGATTCTCCCAATAAGCGAGCTCCTCACAACCACCCAGTTCCCATGTCAATGCCAGAGAAGATGAGTTTGCAAAAGCCTCCCCAGAGCTACTTACACCAACAGCAGCTATTCGTATAGTTTGCCCATTTGCCACAGTAATTGGGGTGATATGAATTCGCCCTTGACTACGGTCAGCTTGAATTGAAGTCCGTATAACATCATGTTCATTAACTGTAGCATCATCAATTTTAGCCAGCCAGAGAAACAAACAAGAGACATTGAAAGCACTGGATGATCATAAATACCAGGTTTGTCAACTAATAGTATGATCCAGGAAGGAAGACTGCAAGCAAGAGACAATGAAATTTCAGCCACAACAGGAAGAGGATGATCATCTCCAACCAAATTCCCACGTTTGAAAGCAACTTTCTGAATCATACAAAACCAGAGAAAGCACAAGATTGTTTAAACAAATAGGTTATAATGCTGGAAAATAAACCAGAGAAAGTGCTCTGAAATCTGAATGGTATCAAGTATATCCGTCTAGAAAAGGTGTAGAAGCTTACATAAGAGCCTAGTCCTTGGCATAAAATTCTGTACAAATTCCCATGGCCATTAGAAATCTGATGAACATTAACCCCTTCATCATAAGCAAGTTCTTCACCCAAAGTCTCCACAGTGTCAACAAAGTCAATACCTTTGCCCCACCTTTCAGGTCCTCCACGAAGCATAACATCCAAATGAGTTCCAGGGACAAGAAATAACTTCTCCAAACTTCCCAGCCAGCTATTAGCTTCTTCTTGGGTTAAATCAAACCAGTAACCACCAAACTTGTTCCCATCACCTGCCTGATGGAGAACAAGAGGTGGATATGCTGCAATACGTGCAGTTGCTTTTAAAACAATTGGTCCACTAAAATAATCATCAAAATGGTGATATTCTTTTGAAAATGTTGCATGCAGCATAGCTTGACCAGAACCAGAAGCATATACATCAGTCCAAGAACATGGAGGACCATAACGCCGTGCATCATTTTCAACATTTTCTGGCTCACTAAAGATGGCAGTATCTCTTGATGTGTTGGCAACAATAAAAAACTCACTTCCAGCTTTCCATTTTATGAGGGAATGAAAAGCATCACATTTAGAAAAATAGGCACCTGCAAATGGCAAGTCAACTTAAATAAAGAATGTAGAGGATAACTAGCTGGAAGAAAAAAATACAGTATTGAGATGATTCTGGACTACAGTATAACCATTAGGCGCTTTCATTGTAACAGCAGCTTGAAGATAAGACCCAACAGCAGTCTCAACAGGGAAGTAAGGCAGCATAGCCATAGACGATGGAATGGAAACTTCAACCTCCACCTGTTAATTGTTAATGGTTAAAAAGGAAAGAGGAGAGATAAATTCAAAATAGACTTTTGTGGACAAAGAGTAGATTAAATAGAAGTTTGAGTGCAGTTTAACTGTTTAAGTAATGCAGCATTTTAGCAAAAATGGTCTGCCAGGATCAAGCAAAATTTAATGCAGCTTAAAATGTTATTTCCATAACAATCTATGACAAGATAAAGTCCAATTATAAAGTTTAAATGAAACTGAAATTATTAGTTACTGTAAACTTGATTATTCTTTTTTTATTCGTTTTCTCATGATGAGAGAGAAGGAGATAGAGAAGAAATGAGGAGAAAAGATTTTGAAAACAGCATATATACTCTTGTAGTAGTGTTATCATCAATGCTTCAAAGTACCAAGGGAAATAATTACGGAGTTAAATATGCAATTGAAAACCATTTTGAAAAGAGCTTTTGAGTTTTTCTAGATGATTTGATTTAAAAGAAATTCATTACAACATAAATTGCCAGGAAAATGACATCAAATACAATACAGGATAACACAGGAGAACCTGCAGCACACATGTTGAAATACAAAAAGTAGTACTGAATACTAAAAAATAGGGTGGGCTGCAGAAATTTATTACCTCATCATAATTGAGTGAATCAAAGAGTGAAACCACCTTCACAGTAGATTTACCGGGCTTCTTAGCCTGGACAACTCCATAAGCAGACACAGAAACAATATTTGTGTCTGAAGAAAACCATTTGTAGTCACTGGATGATTTTGCACAACCTATATGAGTTAATAACATTAAGTTCATCTTCATCAACTAAATCAGAAACCCAAAATTAATCATTTAGAAAATTGACAAAGCATGAAGATGTAAAACCTCCAGTAGCCTTGAGCTCCATCTCCTGATGAACAGTGGGGGCCCAGGGAAGGAAAATGGTTTGAGATGTGTCACTTGTTTCATCCAAAATAAACTTCACTTTATCACAAACCATAATTTCTTGCACAATCTTGAGAACCTAAATGACAATGAAGATGTGATGATAATCTTTATTCTCCTAGTAAAGTTTTAAGAATGAATTGAAAGTGTGTGTGTGTGTGCTTACATGATTATAATTATGATTACAAAGAAATAGAAATATCACCTCTTTTTTATCAAGATGCCCACTATAATAAGTTAAAGAAGCAGCAAATTTCCCTATACCACGTGAAGTTGCTTTCAAGATTCTAGAATTCTGCCACCCATGTTTAGATGCAAGATGCTTTGAAGCTATGGAAGTTTTCCAATATTCAGACTGGTTATCATACAACTTAACACCATCTGTCTGCAATTGATAACCCAAAACATAATGAGAAACTAACACATAAACTGGTAACCCAACGGTGAAAAGAAAATGCCAGCAGAAAAATTTAGCATAAAAGCTCATGAAAATATGAAGCATAAGTTGGATGAATAATGAGAGAACAAAGAGTAAAAGTAAATAGGGTGGATTTATATTTTTCTTTGAAACTCGAAAATAGAAAGAAATCAATAAAAAACAGTGATAAAACAGTACAACATAACATATTCTCTTATTCTTTAAATTATTTATTTATTGATTGATCAGCAACTGGAGCATGCAATATGACCCAACAAAGTAACTGCTCCAGCAAGATTATTAACCGTAGTGATTCAGCTCCTGCAAATAACAAATGAAATATAGCTCATTTGTGTCATGCTCAAAGGGTAGAAATGGAGAATCCTTAACTTACCTCTGTAAGGTAGATTTCTTCTGCATCAGGACCCTTTGAGAAAACCTTCATTTCAATGAGATATTGACTGTCAGAAATAACATACCAACATGCCCCTGATCGAATGGCTTCCATTCCTTCCATAGGATCACTGGACATAGATAATGGTAACAAGTACAGATATATGATATCCGGTATGACCACATGAAGTGTAGACACTTGAATGTGGCCAGCGACCCTGGTATCATGAACAATGACAGTTGTTACTCCTAAGCTCAGTGCTTGAGTTAGACCCATGATAGTGTCTACTTGAGCAACTGAAATGTTTGAAACAGACCATTGATGGTGTGGGGATGGTAGAGTTACCACTGCAAAACCAGGAAACAAAGAATTAAGACAATTGTACTAATAATATAGAGAATTGCATTCAATCAACTCTAAGCAAGAAGGCAGTAAAAGTAAATTAAATAATTGAGAGAAGCAAAAGAAATGAGACTTGAATAAATTTACATATCCATATCCAAAATAATTCATTTACAAAGCATCATAACCAACTCAAAGCAAACACAAGCAATGCTTATCAACTGAGCTAGCAATAAATTTAAATAATTTAAGCCAGAACTCCTAGCGAAAGCTCCATCTAAGCATAGATTTTTAAACAAGTAAGAAGCAATAAAAATAGACCATCAAACATTCAAGTTTCAAAAAACCCACGTCAAAGAACTATTTATGCTAACCTTCGCAATGATCCAATTTTAACCATCAGAGGAATAAAAGCAAGCAAAGGAACAACATGCTTACAAGTTTACCACTAAAATAAAAGAAAAACAAAGGAAAATGACAAGACAAACAAACATCAAAATTTTTACATTCTTATTGGTTCATTTGTTAACATGCCCTGCATCAAGATTCAGACCATACTGTGGGCATGAGCCTGCTGTCATATATTCATTTGAGCAAGCATTGATGTATGTGGTTTTCAAAAGTAAAAGACGCTGCTACAACATTACAAATGATATACTTAATTTTAAAATGTCAAATCAAAAATATGAACAAGTACTATCTCCAATCTCTGTATGCTTAGATTGAAAATGAAGATTAACCACACAGGGCCATCAATGTCAAAAGAAACAAGCAAAAGTTCCACATCAGCACATTGCCAACAATCAAAATGAACTGCATATACATTATTGATGTACCAACAAAAGGATTTAGAAATGAAGACCTTGCGGAACATTTCCACGGATAACCTGTAGATTATATTGAAGGGCAGCACCAATGAGGACAAAAACAGGTGATGGTGGATCAAGAGACATGGCTTCTGCCACAGTTAGAACAATTTTATCATTCATGTTCTTGAACTGCGGCTCAAGCAGATGGACTGAAACCCTCTCATGGCCAATTTCAGTCCCTCTTACAACAAACAGATCCGAAAATACACCCTGCAGGATATGTAATGGATGAAAGCACAACATAAGTATGAAAATATATTATAACTACCAGCAACTACAAGTTTACAGTCACTACTATTATACATACACTATCTTCAAGTTTAATCTGAATATCTAAGTCACCGCACAATCCACCGCAGTCACTCAATGGAGAATCCTTCAGAGGGACATGAACAAGGTGATGAGGCAATCCATCAGATTCGGGCATCAGCTGCCACAAGAATTGTAAACCCACCAGTGATGAAAAAACATTTTCTGCAATGCAAGAAACAAATGAATACAAGACATATAGGATAGGAAAATATCAAACAATCCTGATTCATGAACCATCAACATGATGATAAGCCTTTTACACCTTGACTATCGAAGGCACGAACACGAAGTGTAGCGAGTCCATCTAAATCAAGCTTGATGGAACTGTGAAATATCTGGATTCTGGAAAAATTGTCAATGAAAACTTTGCACCGAATCACAATTCCTGTCTTCACATCAGTAGCATAAATTGAAGTCTCCTGTCGACCACTGTAAGGAGCAATTGATCTCAGCCGCGCACTCACTGAGCAGTGGTTGCTTGAATTGTACTCGGGAATTACAGATAGAATATCATGGTGATCCCAAGACCTGCAAAAATTCAAAAATAATAAAAATAATATATACATATGAACTAAGAAAATAAAAGAAAATCACTATCCCCCTGTATCCATGATTTCTTTCACGAAGGAAAAAAAAAAAACTGTAAAAATAAACAGTTTCCAGCTCGCTTAACTACAGCAGCATACCATTTGAAGCAGCCATCACTTCCCTGAAGACGATACTCCACAGGATTCGTCATTTTAGGAGGCAACAGAATGTTCACATCGGCGATGTGCGGACCAGAACCGGAATATGCCACCGTCTTGTCGACCACCACCACCACTACCACCACCGCTGAAATGATCAGCGCGAACCAAAAACCGGACGGCACCATCTTCGGCAGCTAAAACGTCACCATACACGACCAATCATAATAGAAAAGGAAGGAAAAATGCAAAGCAGCTTCAGCACTCAGCACCAGCAGTGTGAGTGAGCTCGGGTAAGCTAGCTCAGCTCAGCTGCAACTGGAAGTGTTGAAAATGGAAAACCCTAGAGAACAGTAAACAGCAGGGTTTTAGAGAATCAACTTAGGTGGTGGACACTTGGCGTTATGTGATTGGTGCGGGATGAGCTC